TGGTAATTTATTTATTACGAGTCTTTGTCCTAGTCCTCTGCTGAATTAGAATCAATGTCTTAATGACATTTTTAAAGCGGGGACTAGATCTAGTTAACTTTAAAAATATGACTGATTAACTGCCAAATACTAATGGAAAGTATGTCCTTTGCAGCACGGGGGAGGCAGTGGCCTGAGTCATCTGAGGTACTTCAGGATCTCTCAGGGAAGGATGCTGTTCAGCTGAGTTTGATTGCAGTGTACTGCAGATACTTTCAAGATGACTTGATCAATATTTAGTACACATCTTTAACACTCTTAACTATTTTCAAACTGGGAGCATGCAACAGGCTGCCTTGCAAGTGAATTTCTGGCTTGGGTTAAAGTGGATGTTGGGTTTTTGCATTAAATCCTTTGGAAGGAAGGTCTTGCCACTTTGAGCATTTTAATTTTATTTTTTTTTTCCTCACTGAGAAAACGAGAAAAGCTGTAAGCATTGGTTAAAATAATCTTGTGTTAGGGTGAGAACAGGCCCTGCTGTCATGGTGTTGGTTTATGATCCTTTATATAATACTAATGTGCTTTTTCCTAGAGGACTCTTAAGTACAAAATATGTACTTAAGCGCATGAGTCATGCAATTGATAGAACATTTTAAAGCTGGCTGTCAATTTATTGGGATGGTTTTGTTGTATCTTGGATATACCCGTAGAAATATGGGACAAAACACTCTTACAAGTAAGAGTGGAATGGGAAGATTAATTATTCAAATATTTTCTGGTACTGTCTAGTTCTGCAAGTCATTAGAAGGATTTAAATTAGCCACAGCATTAAGGAAAGCACTTGCCAACTTGAATTTCAATTGTGTTTTGGACTACCAACCCTTCTTTCAAAGCAGGAATGTCTGGTTGCAATCTTAACTACACCATAAATTATTCCACTCTGTGGTAACATTGTATGGCAGTCTTGAGCTGCTTGGGAGCTGTCTGCTTATTTTGTTAGGTAGACTATGAGAAGTTTCTTCAGGCTGGAGCTTCATCTTCCAGCCTCATGGACCCTGTGAAGAATACTTGTGTATTAGATGTCTTTGTCTACCACAGGCATGAACTTAATGTGCATTTACCAAGGTTTTGGCTTCTTCAATTAAAAGTGACTGCTTTGATACTTTTATTTTTTGCTAGTACACCAGCAGCTGTGGCACAGAAATCACATACTATTAATTAGGTTTACATACCTGTGTCTCTCTCTAAAGCATATTTAGTTTCTTTTTTTATTGGTTGAACTGTGGAAACTGTACTGGATACTCCAATAAAATAATTCTCAACAGGGCCAGAAATACTTATGCACTGCTGGGGATTAGCATATAATTAAATCCAGAAGGGCCTTTAGAGCCTTAGATCAGGTTGGCTTTGCTGTGGTTTGAATGTGCACAATGTATTCAGTGTCTATATAAAAACATAATATTAAATAGAAAGCTTTTTACTGAAATCTTTCAGAAGACATCTGAAAAGTACATGAATTAAAGTTACTGTTTTCCTGAACTCTCTGGCAGTAGGCATTGGAAAGGAAATGTCACATTTCTGTCTTTACCTTCCAGTTCACTTGCAAGTTAGTTGCATTGAGCCATGGGATTTTTTTTTTTATGCCAGAGTAACAGTAAGTAGTCTTTATAAGGTTTTTTTTTTTCCTTTTAGAGGGGAGATAATTAGAATTGATAACTGGGAATACCAAAGTCCTGTTTTCTGTTTGAGGTGTTACAAATATCTGATATTGGGAATACCAAGTCACCTACCAAAGTCCTGTTTTCTGTTTGAGGTGTTAGGAATATCTGATATTCATGTGCTTGGAGATGATGTGTTCTAGGATATTCAATATAAAAAAGATCACCTGCCTTTTCTCCAACACAACCAAGGTGGATTTGAAAGGAGGAAAGCCATGGGCAGTGAGTCAGCTACTTACCAGTGGCCACTGCAGTATTTGATGTGTTTTCTATGTAACTGATAATTAGTGAGCCCAAGGGTTTGGGAGTGAGAACGTTGCTGTTCATCTGCTGTTCTTTCAGTTGACTGGAATCCAAAAAGGCTACAAAGACTAATGCCTGATGGCTGCTTGGTGGTGTGGAAATAGAAAAGTCTTGCCTGTTACTGAGCTCTGCTTCCCTTAGGGCTCGTGGGTGAGCAGAGGCTGAGCAACGTGGTGAGCAGGAGCTGCCCAGGTTCAGCTCTGTAGGTGGGACATGGGGCTGAAGCTTCTGGTTGGGAATGGTGCTGGTGGCAGCTTTGGGTCTTGCAGACAAGTAGGACATCAGCTCTCCATCACCTAGCATCTTAGAGTAGTGCTAAGCCATCAAAAAACTAAGTATGCTTTAGTTTATAACGATGTAATTATGTTATTTATTAAGGCAGTAACATTTAAACCTAAAATTTGGTATCTTCTATAGACCAAATCCAACCAGATTGCTGGGGAGAGGTTTTATTCCAGTTTAAAAGCTGAATTTGTCTTGTACTTAACATGAAACATAAGGTTTTAAAAGTAGATCATTCTTAATGTTTAAATTATTTTGGCTTAAATTATTTAAGTTGCCAAACAGATTAAAGGAGGAGGATTGCAGATGGAATATACTTCCACCACAAAGTAAGATGAACTACAGAATTATCAGCAATTCCTCGATAAAACAGCAAAATCATCCCTGTCGTCCTTGACAAAAATGTTTTATTTTGTAGGAATCACAAACACACATTGACATGTTGGGTTTGGGGTTTTTTTTTTTTCCACAAATACTTTAACTGAAGCTCTCCATTCTCCTTCTGTTTTCTAGGGTTGGCATAGCTTCAAATCAGCAGACTTAACTTAAAAAAAGAGGGAGCAGCCTTTGACTGGGCTGTGCTCAAGTTGTCTGTTCAGACTTGAGCTTCATTCCTGAGATTCCTGCCTTCTGAGGGTTTCTCTGGGCCCTGGGATGAAATGCCAGATTGAATAGACTCTCACAGCCGGGGCCGTAGCCCCTCTTTATTTGTGCAGTAATAAAGGTTCAGTTATCGCTGCTGAATGAGAGCAGGAAATTTCCTTTGTTGATACTACAGCCCCAGTATTTTAAATGGTTCCTGTTTGTTCTACCACACACTCCCCAGAAGAAAAGGAGGTGTCCAGTATTCCTCCTAACTTACATCCCGAGCAGAAGGACTGCCTATAATATAAAACTGTGCTTATTCTAACTCAGCAACTTTAATATGAGAGGTTCAGAAGGCAAACTTTAAAAGAAAAAACCCTCAAAACAAACAGAGCTCCAGCTGACACAGTAGAAAGGAGTCTCTGGGCTGGAGGTGGTGACTGGATGTATACATAAATACGTGCTGAGGGACATATATGGTATGTTGTATCCCTGAAGACTGGTGAGTGAGGAGATAGGTATGTGTCTAAGGAATTAGTTTCTGGGTGAGGCTTTTTTTGAGGCTCCTTTCTAGCCAGCAACCATTTGGCCAAGCATTAATACTCTTCCATCTTGCCCTTACTTGCCTGAGCTCAGCAGGGAGATGTGCTAGCCAGGCAGTGGCTCTCACTAGCACGCAGTGCAGGTGGCTAGTTAACGGCGAGCTGCTGTGCAATTTGACTGTCCAGGGTAAATAATTTGACCCTGGGGCTGTAGGATAAATAATTCAGCCTTGAGGCTGCAGGATGGAGACACTTTAATAGCAGTTGGGGAATAATTAGTAGTAAAAAAAATGCTTATTTGATAGTCACTGCAAGCAGAGCTGAGCTTAAATGAATAGTTAACTACAGGTCAGCTCACTTAGATTTCTTTCTAACATGTCATTTACTGCTGAAGACAGCTAACTGGGTTGGTTTTTTTTTTTGAAGAGCAGTTTTTGACAGCTGCCTCTTTTAGATTGACATCATTTATGAAGATGAGCATTTGAATAAAATAATCTCGTTGAACAAATTACCTTCTGCTACCTAGTTTGGTAATGCTTCATTCCCCATGTGTTCCTCTTCATTTCAAAAACAACATTCCTGGGATTCTTGATTCCTTCCTTCCCGTAGAAGCTGTCCAACTGAAGTCATCTGTGATACGTTCACACCATTCCCCGCTCTGCTTTGTGCAACAGTCTGAGCTGTCTGTCAGTTAAAAACTTGAGGAATTTCTCTAATCCAGTTAATAGTCCTGTTCAGCCTCTCAGCCCTTACAGCCAATTAATTCTAGATAGTTGGAAAATTGGTGCTATAATTAGCTGATAACCCCAAAACTCTTGAAAGCTGTTTTCTTGTTGCGTATGTTCTATGCTGTATTTTAAGTTTGTGAGAGAAAAAATACAGAAATAAGACTGTAAGACTAAGAAAACACATTTTAAGTTGCAGGCATGTGTTTTTAAAGCCCAAGCCCTTATCCTGTTGGACCACTTAACTGTTTAAGTATCCTTCTAAATCAGAAATGCATTCTCCTCAGAAATTGAAGCTTCAGAGTCAAGGCCAAACTGAATGGTGGCTGAGTGACTGGAACTCTTTAGGAAAAAAAAAAGGGGGATTTTCCCCAAACCTGTTCCCAGATTCACAGGGAATAAAAATGAGATGATAAAAATGAGATTTCTCAACCTGGAGAAGTAAAACAGGTACAAAATGCAATATTGGACCTATTTATGCTCCATCAGATTACTAAGTTAGCTTTGATCTCATTGATAAAAATGTGTTTTATGGGGTAAACATAGAATCCCAGACTGGTTTGGGTGGGAAGGGACCTTAAAGCTCATCCAGTCCCAACCCCCCTGCCATCAGCAGGGACACCTTCCACTAGACCAGGTTGCTCAAAGCCTCATCCAACCTGGCCTTCAACACTTCCAGGGAGGGGGCATCCACAACATAAACATTTATTGCAAGCATATATTGGTTTACAGCTTGGGGAGGCTTTTCATGCCCGTTAACTTGTGTGCTGCTTTAATTTGAAGCAAGAGTTTCCCTCTAAAAATTGCCCATATCCATGACAGCTAAAGAGGCTTTTTTTTTTGCACTTGGAACTATTTGTTTTAAATTAAATGTTAAAAGAATCAAAACAGATTTATTTCAAAACTTTCTCAATTTTCCCATGAAAACACGACTGTGACAAATCTGCTTTGAAGAAGCAAAGTCAAATCCCTGCCTATTTAATGCTGGGACTTAAACTTGGGCTGACCTGATTTCCCTTTCCTTGTTATTGAGGGCATCCCAAGCTTTTGGTGGGAGATGGATCACTGGGGTGCCATCACTCTTAATTACTTGGGAAAGTGGTTGCTTTTGTAGGTGAGAAACAAAAGGAAAGTGGGGGGGAAATGAGCAACTGCAAGGAGTGTTTTGGGAAAAGGGTGCTATTGAAGAAAAGATGGTGGCTGGGTGATAAAGACCTTCACTGAAAAGCTTTTTTCTAAACTTTTCTGAATAAACTTGAATGATTGCAGAAAATGGAAAATATAAACTAATAAATATATTATTTGTTTCCCTACGGGGTCTCCTTATTATGACAACGTCCGCCCGCTCTCCTATCCAGATTCTGATGCTGTCCTGATCTGCTTTGACATCAGTCGGCCAGAAACTCTTGACAGTGTGCTAAAAAAGGCAAGTGTTCCAGAAACATTTCAGTACAAAACTGTTTGACTATCTTGTCTTTAAATCTCTGAAGAGTGGTGCTGTTTCCTACTTTGGAAACTTCAGTTTGTTTCTTTTAATGGAGGGATGACTGGACTGAGCTCTGCACTGCTAGAATTTGAGATCATTTGTTTGAAAGGGATGAATGTTAATTGAAAACAAAAAAAAAACCCTCTCCAGTGGATGCTTAGGGGTGAAGTAAATTGTCATTCCTCTGCTCTTAGACAGCAGTGAATTGTTTAGGGTGGTGTGAGGTGCAGGGCTGGGTGCAGCAAGAAATTGTCTCTCACATTCTAGTCAGATAACAGACAGGATTGAGAAACTTTGCCATGTTGCAAAGGCGGTTAAAACGTGCCTGCCAAGTGTTTGGACTTTTGCCATGGCTTTACGTAATTTCTCAGCCTGAAGTTAGAAGGAGCCAGTGACAAATGCCTCTGGAAGCCAGAAGGAGACCTGACAGTGGCATAGAAATGTAATCTTGCACCAAACTTCAGAATTTTATCATGAGCTCAGTGATCTGAGACTCGGTGCCAGACTTTCCCTGAGTTAAAACATTGCATTTTGATAATCAAGCTCTGTGTCTGTGAGGTGATTCTGGTCCTATCCTTGGTCACTGGCTGTGACTCAGCTTTGTGGTGTTGTCTTTTAAGACTTAATGACCTGAAGTTCCTTTTTTTTCTGTAGCTGGGGCCAGTGATTCTTGTGTCACTGGGAATAAAGTGGCATACAATGCTCTGAATAGTGTACAGAAAATAATTGAGACTATTCTCTCAGCTACTAACTGTGCCAACAAACATCTAGAACTGTCTTTTCTGTCCCTGATAACGTTGATTACTATACTGTTGCTTAATTCTATATGCTTTCAAACCCAAATGATACCCTGAAGCCTTAGGGATTGTATGATCTGTACAGATTATGCTGCAAAATTTTTTGGCTTTCTTGTATTCTCACCACGTAGAGGGAGAAGAAACCCAAGGAATGTACCACAAGTTCTGTGTAAAGGGCTTATTCCTGGGTCACAATAGCTGAAACTGTGACTGATTGTGTAGTTTTAGGTATGAGGATGTAGTCATGAGCCAATATATAGCCAGGATTTTGTGGTCATACAAGACCTACCTCTGTAGCTCCGTCTTGAGGAACCATGGCATGTGGTGCCACCAGGTTTCATTGGTTCCTGTCTACAAATGGCTGTGACTGTGAGGAGCAACAGGTCTGCAAACCTTTACTCAAGTAGGTAAACAATCTCAGTTCATTCCTTCTCAATTAGTAAGTCAGTGGAGTTAATGAGTGTATGAGATTGTAAGATTTCATCCTTGACCAGATTCTGCTGGAACTAATGCCTTGAGAAATTAGCCTGAAGGTAGATACAGCTATTACGTAAGAGTATTTCCACATGAAATGTCATGACTTATTAAACTTTTATCTATTGCTGCTTTGGATTTAAACATTCAACTTATATATATATAATAACCACCTAAAATTTTTTACAGTGGAAAGGTGAAATCCAGGAGTTTTGTCCAAACACCAAAATGCTTTTGGTTGGTTGCAAGTCGGATCTCCGCACAGATGTCAGCACGCTAGTGGAACTTTCCAATCACAGGCAGACACCTGTGTCCTATGATCAGGTATGTGCCACCTCCTTCGTTGTACTTTGGGGTGGAAGATCAGACTCTTTTCCATCGCTGTAACCATCTTTATGAACAACTTCTCCCCACTTTGACACGAGTGCATCCTAGAAGTCAGATGCGTGTCCTTGAGTAGTTGCTGGGAAGTGAATTTGAAAACTAATGCATAAAGGCAAAGCCTACCCACAGACTGGAGGCAGCAGAAAATCATGCAACCCCACAACATATGCTTTAAACATCATAAGATGGTAGCCTTCTTGGTGGCAAAGAGCTTTTTAAGTGAATTGGAAAGAAATTTACTGCTTTTCTGGGTCTACAGAGACCAAAACAGTAACTGAGATGTGACATATCCTGTTTATTTACTGACAAATTGGTAAAATTTTTTTATTCAAACTTAAGATTTGAACTTTGGCATCATGACAAGCACTGCATGTGCAACCTGATCTAGTTGAAGATGTCCCTGCTCACTGTAGGGGTTGTTGGACTAAATGACCTTTAAAAGTCCCTTCCAAACCCAAACCATTCTATGATATAGTCTGAGCCCTTTAAAAATCCTATTTCCTGAAAATATCTTCTGTGGAAACACCTTGTAGCTCCCTCTGAAGGTGACAGCAAATCCAGAAAGCATTTTAATTCTTGGCAGCAGTTCTCTGCTGCTGTGGAAATGAGAAGTTTGGAGCCAGGCATCAGGGGATAGAGAAACTGAGGTGAAAGGAAGAAGAGTCAGACCACTGGAGAGCAGGAGGTAGAGTGGGAAAACTGGGCTCTCAGGTGAACTTCCCCTTATTACTGACACATGTGTATCGTGTGGCAGCTGAATCACAGTGGTGGTTTGACCCCTGCTGAGTTTAACAGTAAGAATGGTACCTCCAGAAGTAACTTCAGCTACTGTTTTATCCTGTGCTATCAATTTTTTTTAATATTTTATCCAGAACCTCATGTTTTCCAAACCAACAGCTCCTAATATGTGGTTACTAATAATGCAGCCACCTACAACATGTTTAAATTTGAAATTGCAAGGATACCATAAACTGAGAATCTTGATTAAAATATAATGTGGAGTGTTGTACTGTGATGGCTTATCTGATTATGGCATTTTTCTACACTTAATAAACGTCCTTCCAGCTTGGACAATTTTCTATGAAACTAAATGCCATTTTTTTACCTCAGTGTAAAACAATTTTTACAAGGGAAGTGGTTGTGTCACCATCCCTGGGGGTGTTTAAAAGACGTGTAGATGTGGCACTTAAGGATGTGGTTTAGTGGTGGACTTGGTAGTGTTTGGTTAATGGTTGGACTTGATGATCTTGAAGGTCTTTTCCAACCTATCCAATTCTATGATTGTAATTCAGAAATGTCCCAAAATCCCACTTGTTGTGGAAGATGTCATCTGGGTTGCAGACTGCTACTGCTGCATGTGTATGTATTCATCTTGTTCAGCCTCAGAGCTGTAATTTTCCATGCTACTTCTCATTTAATATTCAACTTAAAAGGAAATACTGTCTGCCATTTATTACATACACAAGTTTATATATTACATATTTTACAGTACTGCAGTTAAATCACCAAGTCACTTGACAGCCAGAGGGAAAAATTGTGTGTGTTACAGGGAAGCCCATATTTCAGCAGACTCCCCATAATTTCACCTGTACTCGACGTAAGCAAAAGCTTTGAGCAATGCTTTTATCTCTTGTGGTTGCCAAATCCACGGTGACATGAAGCAACCTGGTGCTCTCCTGCTCTAGTTCCAGGGAAGGGTACTGTGAGGTCAAAGATACACAACTTATTTTTTTTAGATGCCTTTGCCTTGCTAAGTCAACATAGGATCAAAGAACTCAGTGGGATTTTTCCCTATTCCTCTGAACTTCCAAAGGAAATGTTGGGATAAAGCTAATGGATGGTGACACCCTGTCTCCAGTATGCTAACTGGTTTCCAGTCAGCTACACCTGAGCAAACATTTCTGAGGTATAGGCTAGGCTTGGCTAGTAGGAGTTGAGATGTTTAACTGTGGGGAGGACTCATCCTACAAACTAATATTCCTTTATCAACCACTCCCAGTTAAAATTGATAAGAAAATGGCTGCATCACTGCAGTGTAAACAGTGGGTGCTGGAGACATGGCTCCAAATGGATCAGTGCCCTCAGCCTGGCTCTAGAGCAAAGAGGAGGGGTTGGATTGACTTGTGCCTGTATCTCAGGCCCACGAATATGTGAGGAGTGACACATCAAGGATGTGGTTGGATTTCATAACTAAAAAGATTCATTCCCTCAGAAGTAAAATTCCATTGAAACAACTCAGTTTTTTTTTATTTTTTTCACACAATGCTGTATTGTCTTCCAGTAGCAAAATCCACAACAGGATACTGGGATATTGTCATCTGCCAGTGTTGTGTGTTGTTTTCCTTGTGCTGCTGGAACAAATATCCCTGCTTTGACTTTTAATACACTTTAAAAACAAAAAAGAAGGGCTTGTATAACCACTAATGTCCTTTTTTTTTTTTCTTCTGCCTGTTCCCTAGCTACAAATTGATGTAACTA